CAGTGTAGACCAGGCCTTAGAAGAGGATTTCTCTCCAGTTCAATATAAGACATCGTTGTAAGCTGAGAATGAGAACAACAGAGCATTTATACCAGTCCTCAGTGCAGGGCCGGCTCCAGGGTTTTGGCCGCCCCAAGCAGCCAAAAAAAAAAGACCGCGATCGCGATCTGCGGCGGCAATTCGACGGAAGGTCCTTTGCTCCAAGCGGGAGTGAGGGACCATCCGCCGAATTGCTGCCGAATAGCTGGACCTGCCGCCCCTCTCCGGAGTGGCCGCCCCAAGCATCTGCTTGCCAAGCTGGGGCCTGGAGCCGGCCCTGCCTCAGTGACTGGGAACTCTGCTTTGAAAGATTGACTGCGTCATGGGAGCCTCACTCCAACAGTCAAGGGCAGAACGTGGCCTATGGTCTGTAAAGCCTTTTTGGATGGAAGACGCTATGTAAACGTAAGATATTCTAGTGGTTCAGTTTATATTAAGGCTATGTCTTACAGCAAAAACAAAGGATATTTTTATTGAGAGAACTGACCCAAGATAGTTATCTCAATGTAAAACCCTAGTGGAGACCAGACAAGTAGTCTTTATCTCCATGTAGCTAGTCAAGGTAAACAATGGGTGAGTGGTACAGGGTTAACCTTGACTAGCTACATCTCAAGGTAAGATTTACCAGTGCCTTGTCGCCATATAGAGTTCATACATTTCAAGGTCAGAAGGGACATGTGGATGTATACTATGCCCCCTTTTTTATTTTAATAATGAAGACAAAGCCTATAATTCAGCTGCAAGACCAGGTGAATACCATTCCCCCTGCAAACGAGCAGGTGCTCAACTCAGCATAGTCCGGCATTATTAATCTCTCACTGGGACTGGAAGTGACCCAATGCAAGAACTGCAAAAACCTTTTGGTGTAGCATGTAAAATATAAGGTTAAAGAGAAAATTTGGAAGGAGAGAAACTATCATGTTTGTAACATTTTTGGAGTTATTTAGGGACTCAGTACAGATTTCAGTTTCATTAGAGAAGTACAGTAGGTTATTTTAAATGAGTTGAGAAATATTAGTCCAATTCCTAGTGGACAGTCTCCCCAGAAACCACAGTGATAAAGGTTATAGTTGTTTAGTAGTTATCAAAAGGTTCAGATGTTGGCCAACATCTTCAAAAGCAACTGGCGATATTTAGACACCTCAATTTTTGAGGAGCCCATCTGGAAACACTGTTAGGGGCCCAACTTTCTGAAAATCAGGTCCTTTCAAGTTGGGCACCCAAATATTGAGGTTTTTCCAAATTACTAGTCGCTCTTGAAAACTTTGAGCTATATGGACATGAAGATGAAATACAACATTATATATGTTTTCTCCAGACATTCTTTGAAAAGAGCTAGTTACAATTGATGGTTCAACAACTTTATTTTCCTATCAATAAATGGCCTTTCTTTAAGTTGAAAACTTTTATGGAAAATGTCCTTGTTCAAACTTTTTCCAGGTTTTCTATGAAAAAACTAAAAACCTTCAAATCTTTTTTTTTAAACTTGCAAGTTTCTATGCAAATCTTGAGCAAAAAAACTGAGACGTTCATTTCTTTCAAAAATGTTCACAGATTATATATAGTGTTTTCTGAGCCACTCTAGCTATGAGGGGCACTAGAAGAATAGTGTGGAGAAGCTGGAACGGCCATTGCCCGTACTGAATCTGTGGATGGAGGACTTCTCTCTAGGGCTCTGATCCTGCAATCAAATTTGTAGGCATGGACTCTTGTGCGTGCATGGAGTCCCAGTTACCCACCCTATTGCATTATTGGGGTATTGTTCTGTCAATCTGAAACCTTTGAGCACTAAATCAATTAAAAGGGGTGAAAAATTAAGAGTACAGAAAGAAAACCAGCATCAAAGGAAAGCTGGATTCAAGTATCGGAGCCTCTCTCATCAGGAGAGGATAATTGAGAACTGTCTGAGCCCCCAAACCTATGACAGTGGATTATCTGTTCTGTGTTTAAAGAATTACCATAGTTTAGTGAGCTCTTGTATGTTAAACAAAACAAAAAAACCCATGAATAAACATACAGAACAGTTGATGTCCAACCCCGCTCTCCCTCCTTAAAGTGCTGTGGATTTGCAAGGTCACAGGGCATGAATAATGGTGTCCCTCTAGCGACCTTGACAAAGAAACATCATGATTGCTCAACCAACCCATCTAAAACCAATGCACAGGCAGCACCAGCCAAAAAGGAAAGTGTTTCATAACTGTTGACTTTTGTGTTCTAGCAGCCAGTTTCTCCTTGTATTATTCTGGGGGCTTTTGTTTGTGTTTTTGGCAGATCATGAATGGTTTTTGGCATGTAGAAGAAAGAGTCTAAATGTAATATTACACACCCGTATTTAGCAATCTTTATCTGGAAGCAAGATAACTATAAGTCAATCTGAGTTTCAGCTAGATTTGCTTTTCTCAAGATAATATACTTACTCTTCATGTACATGTCAAATGATTTCTTCAAAGGTCCTGTTGGTATATACTCAGTGTTACCTCTTTCCATACAAAAAGAGCAAAATGTGTATAATCTCCTTTTTAGACTAAGGAAAACAACAGAAAGAACACAAGTAATGTGTACATGAGAGCATGGGGTGTGTCTTCTGTTACATGCTGCAGTCATTCTGAGAGCAGTATGGTGGACTTGATAGAAATTAAAACAAACAGCACACTGAAAACATAGGTCATCACTGTTTCAGAGCTACGTGCAGTACAGCATAGTTGGAGCCTTAGTAATTATACATGAGAGATGGGTCTGAGGCTCAGTGTTCAAACTCAATGCTGAATTCCCCCAAAGTTTGGGAGCATTCACTTCTGGGGTTGTAGTTAGAGCTGGTCAAAATTTTTGAACCAAATTACTTAGTCAAAAATGCTTTAAAAATTGTGACACTGTTAACTCTTCAATTTGTTTTATCTCAATTTAATATCTCTTATATAAACCATTGTTCAAATGTTTTATTTACCAGAAACCAGGGGGATTGTTTTAAACAATATTTGTATAACAGTTTTTGCAGAATTCTAAAAAGTGAAAAATGAATACTACAAAACCAGAAACAATTTTTCCAACTAATTTCAGTTTGACGTCATCCTTGTGTGGCTTTGGGTTCTACATGTTTTCATATCCAAGACAATATATAAGGGTTATACAGACTTCTTCAGAGTCATGATAACAATAGAGTATTCTTGGTTTCATTCTTATCTATAAGAAACATTCCTATAAAGTAGTAGGAATTGTTGTGTACTAAGGAGATAACATTTTGGTTACCTCTTTATGGAGCGGGTGGGCTGGGCAGGGGGGGACTTTAAAATTGGCATACAATGCTGATAGCATTTTGACAGGATGCTTCCCCCCGGCGCCTCCAAACCCCTAAAATAAAAGGCAATTCTCAATGTTGCATGGCAGATTATTCTCTTGAGAGAAAATTTGGGACTTAAAATGTTTGCTCTCTTCTTGCTTGGACAAAACTTCCAAGTGAAAACAGAATAAAAAGCTGAACAAGAACATACGGGTTTGATCCTTGTTGGCTGGTCATCGGAAAGCAGGATATCTCAGTCCATATAATACAGGCCTGAACTCTTGATTGGGAAATCCCTTGGGTTACTGGGCTGCTTTCCTTGCCTCTCTGTGGTGCGCTAGGGGACCCTGTGCAAGCTCACAGAATTAAAAAAAAAATGCAGGGTTTGTGGGCTGAAACTGCCCTCATATAGTGGTACTAACTCTGGGGATGCTTCTAATGTAAGGCTGAGCAAACCAGTTTGGGAAAAAACCCATCTCAAAGCTTTCCTTGGTCCTCAAGTGGAACACACATCCTCTCAACACGGCACGGCTCCCTCCTCGCACTGTCTCCTTTTCTCTGGTGCCTTTGCTGATCCAGCGGTGGGTTAGACAGCTGTGGGCCCCAGATGCTGCTGATGTCCAGGTTTGCCTTACATAAAGACTCCAGTTTTCATGTTAAATTTGGTGGCATTGGGTCAGAGCTTTTGGGATTCCGACTGAGGCTTTGTTTTGCGGGGAGGATGCAGTTGGGCCAGTTATTGGTTGTGGAACTGGAAAGTACCTAACACTCAGGGCTTGTCTACACTTACCAGGGGATCCACGAGCGGCGATCGATGCATCGGCGGTCGATTTAGCGGGTCTAGTGAAGACCCGCTAAATCGACTGGAGATCACTCTCCCGTTGACTCCTGTACTCCACCAGATCAAGAAGAGTAGGGGGAGTCGACAGGAGAGCATCTCCCATTGACATCGCGTAGTGTGGACTCCGCGGTAAGTAGATCTAAGCTACGTCGATTTGAGTTACGCTATTCGTGTAACTCTTACGTAGCTTAGATCGAATTTCCCCTGTAGTATAGACAAGGCCTCAAACCAGCATCCATTGCATTCCCTGTGGATGGGGCCCTTTCATGAGGTGGAGAAAACTGGAGAGGCCTACAGGAAAGTCCAAAGGCAGGGAGGAGTAGCTAATGGGAGGAGCAACCCTGGAAAGCTCTCGAGCCTCAGAGTTTCACTAAGTTTCAATTTTCTGACCTTGTTGATCTTAACACCTGCTATTGCTAAGCTAGGTGAGCAGCTGACAGACGTGGCACAGACACAGGACTAGAGTTTTTACCAGACCTTCCCGCCGATAACGATGGGCCACATTGTTGAATGCAGCCACCTAAAGAGCATCACAACTTCTGCACGTTCCCGTTGGTTACATTCACAAATCCCACTCCGGGGCCGGCATGTGCTGCACTGGAGCTGGCAAGTCAGAGGATTGTGCATGCACAGCAGCATTTACAGGTGCAATTTTTGCTGGCTAGACACAAGTCCCTTAATATGCAAAATGCCAAGAAGGCAGACAGGTCTCCATTCTCATTCTTAATTGGCAGTCTTAACTGCAGTCATCAATTATTAAACCCTCCTTTGTCCAATAATTCACGATCTGCAGACTTTTGAGGTTCTATTGTTCCCTTAATCCTTTAATATAAATACTGTATGGAACTGGGAGGTTCCAGGGCATAGTATGTGGTGATGTGGGAATTGTTTGTGTGCTTCTTACAATTTGTTAGACAAAGCATTGTCTTGTATAGAAAATGATCTATGGGACACCTAATAGAATTTAGGTAAAGTTCTGTTGTGGGCAGGGGAAAAACTCACCTGAAGGCATTAAACAAAGAAATGCTCCATGATTTATGTCCTTGCAGAATATATTGGCCCTGGGCAAGAGTGTCTTATAATGAATGTTTTGAAATGATAAACATCTTGGTGTTAAACAAATGATATTATCAGACAGCTCCTGTTCAGGTAGAATTCATGCCCTGTGCATTTTCCAGCGTTAACATTTTGGAAACAGTAATGACTGAGGCAGAATGCTTGCCAAGTTTGATACCTTTGGTTTTGTCCTTGCCACTTGGTTTTGGCTTGAATACAAGATCTGTTTGATTGGTGACCCTGTTCAGCTGTGAAGGTCATTACAAAATTCAAAGCCTTAATCATATGAATAACCCTTACTCACGCAAATATTTCCACTGAAGTAACAAACTCATTGTGACATTGAGGTTTTGCAGGGATCGGCCCCAGGAGTTGCAAATGTCCCAGTTGTATTCCCTCCCCCCATCTTCCTGACTATCTAAACCAGCCTAGATTGGACTTTGTCTGTTCTAAAAGATATTCATTATTTTCTTTTAATTTTTTTAGACCAGACTCTTTGTTGATGGAAGTATCTCATACAGAATTTAACTTTCTAATATTGGTATCCCATGCATATAAGACATTCATTCCAGACTGGACACACTGGTAAATGTGTGCCGTTTAAGTTTTTTTGTGTAGGAATTCATAACTGCGTGAAGTAATTTGCCTTGTATTAGTCCTTGTCAAATACATACAGCAAAACCAAGTGTGGCTTTTCGACATTCCCATCCCAACCCAACATGACCTGCTACTGTTTGATGCTTAGTGCTGAATACTACTTGCTTTCCTGGTGATGATGAGCAGAGCTGGGGCAAGCATGAGTGATAGTTTTCTTCTTGCTTTCCTTCACAAACCTCACTCAGCTGCCGTGTATTTTCTAAATAATGTTAAAATAACCCCTAGAATGCTGTTCAGGACTAAGACTAGTGTGGATGATGGTAAAATTTAACAATGCTGTATGTGTGATGGTGGTGGGGAATAATCAACCTCTAAATTTTGGAACAGTTATGATCGGTCATCAATGAAATCATTCCCCCGTGTTTTAAGACAGAAAAAAATAGCATCTGGTAATGTCTCCTCTTACATTGCATACCTACGAGCATATTTGTTTACTGTGAAGTATTCGGGAAAGATCAGCTGATTTTAGGCAAAATAAGAACTAGTTCAAACCAAATCCAGGGTGAATGGATTTTTGAGGGTCACAAATTTCACTTTACTTTTCCCTCTGTGTTCTGGTCAGGACTATCAGTGAAAGGTACCAGCAAACTCACCAGACAGAAACCTTATGAGAACTAAGACAACCTTGCAATTCAAAGAGGTGCAGTTAAGCATCCAGATTCTTGCCTAAACTATCCTCTCCAAGCCTATGGTGGCACATCCATCACTGGCATGTAATCTAAAATGTCTCTGAAATTACACACATACACTTCATAGTGTTCTCTCATCCTAGGCTTCGACTTCATGATGGAAAGCTCATTAAGGACAGGCGCCACCACCTTCGAACGTACCCCAACTGCTTTGTTGCAAAGGAGCTTACAGACTGGCTGATTGACCACAAGGAAGCACCAGACCGAGAGACGGGTATCCGCCTAATGCAGAAGCTAATGGACCATTACATCATCCATCATGGTTTGTAAACTCTAGTTACCCTTTAACTTGCCCAAGAGAGAAAATTCACAGTGTCTGGACTAGTCATTCCCCTGTCTGTTCCCACTTATCAGACCAACTTACTTATTTAGGATCCACTTCTGCAATCCTTTCTCATGCAAGTACTTCCGCTGAAGCCAATGGGATGACCCCCCCGGAGTTTGAGATGTGCAGAACTGGGCTCCTGTTTAATAGCACTACTTCTCAGGTTGCACGATGCTCCCAGTCTCGCACTGCATCCACTCCAGAAGAGAGACTGTGGCTGCACAAGAATGAAATAACTCTTGGAGGTGTGTCTCATGGGAAATGAGATACAACTGGTTCTAGCTCAGTCACCCTGTCCTGGACGCTACTCTGCCGTCCAGCAGCTGCCGAAATACTGTGGTGTAGATTTTTACGGAATTGAATCCCTGCAATATGGTTGTATTATGCAAATACTCAAATGGCTGAAACTTCATGATAGAAGAAATAAAAAATGTAGTAACATTCATTTTTACTGCCCCAGCCTAGTGTCCCTTGACTTTCCAGCTCATGTCTGGGGTGGGGACGGTGGTAGTGCAGCTTGCATGCCAGCAAGCGCTACACCATAATCGGATCGTGGCATCCCAAGGGCCAACGCAAACATGCAGGAAAGCCTCTCTTGGAAATGAAAAACGTACAGTGCCCTTTTCAAGGCCTGTCTTTGGACCCAACTCAGAGTAAAGACTCACTTGGCACCCAGCTCCAAACGGGTCCTGACCACTGGCTCCTAATTTTTTTTTAAACTTGCAACAGCTCTACTTTATTTTTATACAAACACTGGGCTGGGTCATGTGGTTAGATACCTGGGGAAGGACGTGGTCTAGGGAACTGAGTATTGGCGCAAGAGAGAGGAATTCCTGAGGCTTAATCCTCGCTCTGATGCGGACTCACTTTATGCCTTCCTTGGTTAATTCTCTGCCTCTGTATCTTCTTCTGAAAAATGAGCATAATAATAATACTTTAATTCTTGGGGGCAGAGATTTGTATTAAAGCCCCAGTTTCACATGTGTATAAGTGCTTGCAGGATTAGGGTCTGATTTCTTAGGGTCCAGTTCTGGGAGTTATAGAATCTTTTTTGTATATTCTCTCCTCATGACTGGTAGCTATTATGAGCCATGTTTAAACATGGCTGTTGCTATCTATGTTCTAGCGCAGTTAACCTGGTTGGCATTAACAGATTTATTTCCTTTTCTTTTCGAGAGAACTGGACTGCCCTGCCATGCTGTAGACCACTGGGGCTGGAGACTGGTTTTCAGATGGTTCTTAGACAAATCCTGGTCTTCCCTGGTGAAGGAAATAGTTCTAGAACTCGTCTGGCAACCGCTAGGTTGTAACTGTAGTAATAACAACTAGCTTTTATGTCGTGCTTTACATCAGTCAGTCCTGACATACTTTACAAAGGAGGTCAGAATCACTATCCTTATTTTACAGATGGGGAAACTGAGGCACGGAGGGATGAGATGTACCCAAGGTCACCCAGCATCAGAGTTGGGAATAGAACGCAGGTATCCTGAGTCCCAGGCCAGTGCACTGTTCACTCAGCCACACTACTTCATATGCTGCAGCTAGGGTGAGGCTGTTTGTTGCTTGTGTTGACTGAAGTGCAGGAGAGAGATTCATTTAGGGTGAAACTCAACCCTGCATAGAGAATTAGTACAAGACAGATGCACTTCATAAGACCTGTCTGAGGACTTGTGGTGAGACTTTCATGATGCATAAGCAAGCCCTGGGCTGGCTCTTCACATGGGGTTGGATTTCACCCTTGGTGTGCGGGCATGAAAGATGTTTGTGGGCGCTTGCTGGTAGTGCGAAGAGTGGCTGTCTTGCGTTTAACTTTCAATTTACTAGAGATGAGCCTGGGCCAAAATCCCACATCAGATCCACCCCACTTCCCTGAAACTTGGGGATGTTTGGAACCAGATATCCATGCGCTGATGTTCTGCTTTGGTGATCTGGTGGGAGACAATCCTCTGGATTAAAAACATCTAGCTCTTTAACACGCAATCGAAAACTCCCATGATGTTATCAAGAAACTAAAAATCCTCTTCCCGGAGATAAAATCTCAGGAGGGTTAATAACAAACTGCACCCTGCTTCCCAAAACTAAAGCCTCAGCACCTCTGGCAAAGCAGCATCTGCATGTGCTCCCATTGCAGGGTTACCTACTAGCCCTGTCCCCAACGCCATCCTGCCAGTGCTAGATGAAAATACCAGCTCCATTTAGACTAGAGAGGGGAATGCAATCAACTTGGTTTGTGAGGGGAGGAGAGGGGACGGGGAGGTGGGCAAGACTGCTCAGTTTATTTTTAAGCGGCAAAAAAAAATTAGCTTGCTCTCTCCCTCCCTGGAACAACAAAAGGCCAGAAGGGCCCATGCAGTCCTCTTGCATAATGCAGAATTTCACCCATTGATTCATGCATGAAGCCCAATAACTGGTAGTTGAACTGGAGCGTGTCATCCAGACCCTCGGTCATGACTGATAGAATCCAAGTGTGGAGAATCTACCACGTCCATTGGTCTTAAAGCCAAACCCTAGTTATACACACCCTTGTGACTGAGCGTGGAATATACATCCACATTTTGCAGCTATTTGCTGGTTTTTATAATGGGCCAAGCCAAAACCCCATAGTTGAATCAGACCCAAGCTTTGGGGCATCTGAGGTCCTCTGCTTGATGCTAGAACCATCTTTACGGAAAGACTCAAACTACTCTCTCTGTGCTTATTTAAATGAGTAGTCCTCTCTCTTTAATAGCACACAGAATGCAGGTTTTGCTGCCAGATCTCTTGCCTTCATTGAAGTCTTTCTGCACTGCTGCTTAACTTTGCAGGATGTAATGTCTGTCCTTAGTGTCCAAGGCATGGACCCAGGTCATATAACCGCAGGGCACTTGAGGGAATGGAAAACGTTTCGGTGATTGACCAGCCGAGTGAACTTGTTGAGTGACGCGCCCGCTCTGCGATACACTTAACAAAGGTGAAATCTGCAGCGGAGAGCAAATGGTCAGGGGACGAGCAAGGGCGACTTGTGCTGAATGAGCCTGAATGTTCAGCTTTTAGCCAACGGTTTGGCAGAATATACTTCAGGCCTGTTTCCCCTGCAGGAGCTACACAAAGCTGGCTTGTGTATGTCACACAGAGCCCGACGCTGGCTGAAACCAAAATAAACACAGACTCCGAGGGTGCCTTCTTCCGGCAGTCTGGGACAGCATGTACAAGCAAAACCTTGGGCTGTGATGAGGGGAGCTCCAGGGTCTGTGGGGCAGAGAGTCCATGAGGCAAAGGATTGTCTGGTTCTTTCTCCGAGCATCCTGCCTCTCTAGTCTGGTTGTCGGCCACAAAGAGGGAAAGGAGTCTAAAAAGATGATTTTTAAGAGCTGTGTCCAGTGTGTCCTCCAAAGAATTCAGTGTTTTCTTGTTTTGTGGGGGAGGTGATGGCTAGTTTGGCCTGAACACTCTTCCCAACCCCTCTTCCTCTAGTCTTCACTTCACACTCAGCCTTTTCTGAGGCTTGTAGAAGTTGTGGTGACTCACTCCAGCTTGCGTTTGCTCACCTTTCTTGGTTCTTGTCAGAAGCAAAAGGCCACAAATTTCTCTCTCTCTCTGTATGAGGTTGCTTGTGGCATATTTCTGGGCTGACTAGCAGCAGGAAGTGCTAGATGTTATGCGAGACCTTATTCACGGGTTGCTATTTGTTCCTTCCACACACCCCACCCAGAGGTGAGCATCCACCCTCTGAACAAGGGACACCACTCTCTCTTTCAGGCCTGCATGATTTTAACCTCTGGTTTTGGAAGGAGGGTTGTAAAATGACCATGCAGATTTCCTCTTGGCTGAAAAATTACAAAAAAGTGTCTATAAATTGAGGGTTAGTCTGGAACATTTTTCCCCACAGAAAGTTTTAGGTGAAATGCCAAAAAAAACAAAAATGTGCCCCATTTGTTTTCATCAACATTTTACGTTTTCTGCTAAAATTTTTCAGTGAAAAAGCAAAATCTTCTGTGGAAAGGAAATGCATTTCTTTTTGTGGAAAAACCTGTCACCAAAACCCCCAATTTCCCTCCAAATGATCAAGAGAGAACATGTTTGACTTAATTGAGGGTGCAGTATACCGTGTGTGTGCACAGTTAGAGTGGGTGTAGTTAATGTTTCTGGAAAAATGTACCTGTCTTGTGTTCTTGTCCAGCTCTGCCCCAGAAGTAGCTGCATGTTAGTGATCTTGTGACTATAGCTAACACCTTTGGGGCCCTTCAGGATGGAAGGCCCTGTGGAAATGTAGATTCTTTACTGAAATGACAATCAAAGGTGAATTTAAATAGCTGTTGCTTGTAACACCCAGGCACCTAGTGCAAAGTAGCAAATCCGTTGTGCTAAATGACTGGGGCAGGCCCCATGTTAAGTTAGTCTTTCAGACTTTGTTAAGAAGAATTTTTCACCCTATGACATCTGGAGTGACTGGGCAGATCCAAATCGGGGAGGGTATAAAATGAAGGCTGAAAATCCAGATTTTAGGGGCCAGATTTTCAAGAAGAGCCTTCATCCATCGCTCTTGATATTAGCGGGGGAAGGGAGAGAGGATAAGTATGTCATTGTTCTCCGTGGGCGCTACTGCTCTCTGATGAAGAATCTGCCCACTTCATTTAGGTGCCTAAACAGGAGCGGAGCTCTCAGCCCCTAAATCCTTAACAACCCGAGCTGTGGTAACACTGGAGTTTGCATTTACGCTCTCCTTATCGGAGCTGAGGAGGTGGAAGGCAGGTGCAGCGTTCGTTGACTTCAACCGCTCTTTGGCAGTGGAGTTTAGAAACAACCCCCTTGACCACCGCAACGCAAACACTCTATCTGTTGTCATTGGCTGCCTGATGCGAGATTAATGCCTTGTACGTTAAGCTGCCATGAATAAAAATGCCCTCTGTTGCTGCGATTTATTACAGCAGCATAAAGTAGCAGCAATTAGTTCAGGGTTAACCATTAACACTTAAATCTGATTATTTTCCATCTTTCCAGCTATTTTTTTTTTCACCACCAGGTTGACAGTTTCAAAGAAACCCATTATTTGATTAAAGCCTTTGGAACGCTGGGCAGGAGCGAAGCTTTTGGTCACCAAAGACGTCATCCTTCCATGTTTCTGTTTAATCACCTGGTTAATGCATGCGGCTGACTTTATTTCCTGATTTGGGATCATTTCTTGTTCTTAGTCCTCTAGTAAGAGGGCTCTCTGCTCACCTCCATGTGGAGAGAACTGCCAGGAATCTGGCTAGTTAAAATCCATTCCCCCTCCCCTCGCCGAGTCCCAACATCCTTGAGAGGGGCAAGAATAATACCACGAAATGCATTGCCTGGGCTATTGCTTACTTGTGAGATATGAGCTAACTAGGGACTATCATACACTGGACTGGATTGGAAATTGGGTATTATCCGCCAGGCCTTCAAGCTGCAAAAGGGCGTCTTCTTTCCATGGGCTCCAGCCTGTAAGGCGCTGAGCATATTAACTTCCATTAATCCCTCTCCTTCCCATGAAACTGATTGTAACACCATGGGACCCATTAACACCGCTAATCAAAAAATGGGCAAAACCCCTTAGTCCTCCTCCTGCCTGACACATCTTGTGTTTGTGGCAGTGCAGTTTGTCACCATGAAGGCAATTCAGGGAGCACGTTTTTTAAGTTAAGTCCAACCATAACACGTAGCACTAGAGCCAGTCAACCAAAGGCAGGCATAGTTCTACCAAACATTCCTAAGGAAATGAACATTTTGTTTTTTACTCCAAACTTTCTGTGAAATTTTTTATATGAAACTTCGAAAGGCAACTTTTTAAAATTTCTGATTCGTTCTTCCTCCCCTGCCGCCACCCCCCCAAATTCATTAGAGAAAAAAATCTTCCTCCTCCTTGCGGGGCGGGAGGATGTTTTTGTGTTTCTTTTTTATTAATAGGTTGTTTCTTCACACTAAAACAAAACTTTTTTTACAACAGGGAAAAACCTTTTTGACACAAACAACCCCTCCCAAACCTTTTGACCTGCTCTACTTACGACTTAGTGCAAGCTCACCATGGATCTCAAAGCACTTTCCCTAAATGGGTATTATCCCTATTTTACAGGTAGGGGAAACTGAGGAAGAGAGATGCTGTGACTTATTCAAGTTCAAACAGTAAGTCAGTGGGAGAGCTGAACTCAGAACTCCTTAGAACAGTGGTCTGTCTCTGTGACCATATTGTCTTTCAGTGGCATCTCACATATTTGCACATTACCGTCTGCACACACCTACCAGCCGGGCATGTACAAATGAGGAATGCACAAATACCCGAGGTGTGCATGCAAATGAGGTGTGGTCCCTTAAATTAGGTAGCTGTATTTGCATACACGTAACTTTAAAGTTCTGATGTCAGACCTGATGAATTGCCCTGTGAATGAATCGGGAAGAGTGGATGCAGATTGATTGTGTGGAAAAATCTCTTTTATAGCTGCATTTAGATATCAAAGCATCTGCAATAGGGGAAGAGGAATGTAAATATTCTGAGGCAATTTAACAGGTTTTTGGCTGTTACATCTCCCCCAACCCCCACGCTCTCCAACCTTCTCTAAATGTGGCAGTGGCTTTTTAACGCACCAGCCCTAGAAGAGGGTTGCATTTCTTTTTTTAAGCTTGTAGGTGAACTGCAACATGTAGACTAAAAAAAAAAATTCTGCTTTTTCCATTCAGTCATCTAATGAGAGTTCTAAGTGTAGTATTCAGGATCAGAACTTACTCCAGTTCCTTCAAGCAAAGTTCGGTGCATGTGACTGGCTGCCTGGTTTCTATACAGCTCATTGTAGTAATCATAAAGTTGGAGGTCTGGAAACTGGGCCACGGTGTCCTAAATGACTGAAAACTGGCTTTTTGCTCAGTTCTGAGCTCAGCTCTAGTTGTATGCATTATGGGGTAGTATTTAAACCTGCAGTCCTGACGCTGTCTGCTTTGATTTTCTTTCCAGTTTGTGATGAACACTCGGACTACAAGGACGCCAAGTTGCTCTACCGTTTCCGCAAGGACGACGGGACCTTCCCTCTCAACAAGGATGTAAAGGTGTTCCTGAGGGGGCAGAGCCTTTATGAGACGTACGTGAGTCCTTCCCTGAAAGGTCTATCACCGCACAGTCTGCTGGCTGCCTTCGCAGCTGCAGTTCCAGAGCCAGGGAGCTGAACCGTTGCCAATGTTTCTCTTGCTCCATAGCATCAACGGGTAGCTCCAGCTCTGACTCCTTGCTGCCTTTCTCACTGCAGCAAAGCAGCAGGACCATCAGGACTGGAGTTCAGAGATGGCTGTGAACTGGAATGCAGGATCGGAACTCTTTGCCGTTCTGGGGGAAGTTCACATTCAGATCCAGATCTGGACTTCTCGACTTGGAGCCATTGATAGCGAATACAGGATTCTGGCCTATGGTTAAAGTGCTAGCCTAGGATCTGGGAGATCTGGGTTTGAGGTCCTGCTTTGCCACAGACTTCCTGTGTGACCTTGGGCAAATCAGTTAGACTCTCTCTGCATCACTTCCCCCGTACAAGGGGATAACAGCATTGTCCTGCCTCACAGGGATATTGTGAGAATAACTGCATTAAAGATTGTGAGATCCTAAGATACTGTGATAATGTGGGTGACCAGACAGCAAGTGTGAACAGTGGGGGTGGGGGGTAATAGGAGCCTATATAAGAAAAAGACCCCCAAATCAGGACTGTCCCTATAATATCGGGACATCTGGTCACCCTAATGGTAATGTGGGTGCTCCGATAAGTAGCTTAGATTCCATGGACGGCTTCCTTTCATTGAGCGGCAGTGGGGGAGAGAGAGACACAGACACACACACAAAGATGGGTTCTCTCTGTGTGTGGAGATTTCGCTAATTACTCCTCCAGGTCAAAAACCAGCTTCTTCTCTGGGTCTGACTGTGGAAATTGGTTGGAGAATCTGGATCTCTGCATTCCAGTAAGCCTCTTAATAGGACTGGAAGGCAGAACATAAGTAGCTGGTCAGCGTTGTTGCCCTCTTTTGTGGGTGTGGGGAAGCAGAGCTCTGGTAAGGTGGGAACGGTTAAAAGGGGATGGGTGTTTCTGGGCTGTTAGATCCGGATGGCCCAGCCAATGGACCAACAGGGGGACCACACAGGCAGTTCGTGGCAAACCTGGGAACTGATTCCAAATCTCCTGAGTCCCCATCACATGTCTTAACCACAGCGCTCCCCCCTTCTTTCCATTATTATCAATTATCCAGTATGTTCTAGTGGCCCCAGGATAGGGCTGGGAACCTGGCGTTCCAGACGTTGAGGCTACTTCTTGTTCATGCTGACCTTAAGCCAATCACTTAATCTCTGTGTTTTTATTTTTCTCCCTCCTGTTAAATGGGAATGGAAAATACCGACCTTGCAGGGGCTGTCTTATATGATCAATGCTTTTACAGTGCTTCAAAAAAGGACAGAAAAGCTATATGCAAGCTAACTATTCTGCCTGAAATGAAACCCTGGACAGGCTTGGTTTGGAATTGAGGATCTAAATTCCAGAAGTTGTGTATAATCTCATCACACTAATTATTCTCTTCTGAGCGAAACACTGGCCTTACACCAGCAGGGATCCTCACCATCCTTCCTGCATTGGACTTGGATGCTGTTGCTGGCATCTCCCGTCATGTGAAGCATTCCTTGGCTTCTTGGTAGAGCAGATTGAAAAATGGTAGTAGTTTGTCTTGGAAAACTTTGAAAAATTGTAACTTTTTTCCAAATTTCCATGTTTTTTGTTTTTGTTTTATGCATTTTGCAAAACAGCCATAATGTTTTTGGATTTTGAAAACCTATCACCCCCCAACCTTTTTGGCTTCTTGGTCCCCACCCCACCCCTTTTCTAGTGGCAAAATTTGGAGGCAGGGCAGAGGGGAGAAATAAATAGATTTTATTTTTGCCATTAAAAAAAAATCACAACTGACACCAGTTCTCATTTAGGGAGGGAAGCAATTTTCTATCTCAATGACTGTTTTGTTGTTTTGTTTTGTTTTTGCAATCCCCTCTAGTTCTAAATCTCGGAAATGGTCTCTTCCTAGAATCAGCTCCAGTCCTGTGTTTAAACTCGTTTCACCACAAAGGGTATGTCAGTGCTCCAGCAGTGCCGTACGGCACTGCAGCTCTGCTGCTGTAGCACCGTCACGTAGCTGCTTCCTGCATCGACGGAAGCGGTTTTTCCATGGATGTAGTGAATCCATCTCGCCGAGGGGCTGCAGCTAGGTTGATGGAAGAATTCTCCCGTCAAACTTGCCACGTTCACACCAGGGATTACACAGGCACTTGAACTGTGCCCCCTCCCCTCAAACCCACCTTCACGCTGTCCCTTCCTGCAAGGCGCCACTCCTGCACTGCCTCTTCCTCCCCAAGATCCCGCCCCCGCTTGCTCCTCTCCGCCCCCTCCTCCCCTTGTCGCTCATACTTTCGGCCGGAAAAAGTGGAAGGGCCATGGGCCCTCTGGGCCCTCCTGTTCCGGTGACCCCTGGCCAGGCCTAAATCACTTCTGTACCTGGTTGTTTCAAGCACTCGCTCATCTTAATGCTCTATTGCGGCTAAGCACCTAGCAGTCAGAATCTCAAACTGCTGCTAAAGTGAGAACCCACCCTTGGGCAAACTTGTGCAGAACTCAGCATGTGCTGTCTGTCCTCTGTTGGGCCCACGTTCTGATTTCAATCCGTCAGAAATTAGCAGATTAAGGCAATACCTCTGTTGTTGTGCTTTTTCCTAAACAAAATAGCATAAGGCCTGGTCTATGCTAGAAAAATCCACACCCCTGAGTGGTGTAGTTAAGCCAATCTAACCCACTGTAGACAGCATGAGGTGGACGGAGAATTGTTCCATCAACCTAGCTACCGCCTCTCTGGGAGGTGATTTGTCTATGCTGACAGGAGAAATCCCCCCGCCCTTCGGCGTATCTACGCTGAAGTGGTATAGTGGCGCAGCTGTAACATTTCAATTGTAGACAAGCCCTAAGAAATGCCTTCTGAAGGGATCCAGCTGTTTGCATATGTGGGGTTAGGGCACCCTCTAGTGGACACATCAGTTTTAAACTTCCGGAATTCAGGAAGCCGCGGGTTTAACTGCATTTAAGTTGTGCCCTTTCTAGGAGTTTAGCTTTTCAGAGGGTTACAGGAACCTTTTGTTACTTTTTGCCTCTCATGCTCAGTCTTGCTTTGAGTTGACCTTGAATTGGCTGAGCTGAAACCACACTCTTTTGCCTGGATTTGATTCAAATCCACGTGAAAGGAGCACGTTTTGCATGGGTTCACCTGAAACCAGCAAAACTCCCACGCTGCCTTTCTAACTTGGCTTTGGGTTCTGTTATAATTACTTGCACAGCTCATTACAGCTAATCTTTTTGGAATTAGCTGGTGTTTTCCATTGTGCGTTAAACTATTGAGTGACTCACCTGTCTCCTCAGTTGTGTTTTGAATGAGACCTAGAATTTAGGTTCTGATCATGTGGGTTAAACATCTCATGTAAAAGTGCTTTTTCTCACCATACTTGTCTTAAGCAATGGGGCTTTTGCCATTTCCCTTGGGAGCCCAATGGCTATCTCTATATGAGAAAGCTGCACTAGTTTTAAATAAAGGAGCGGTTTAAACTGATGTGGGTAAGCCACCACAATAGGCTGTGTAGATATTTATTTTGCCTTAGTTTAAACTGATTCCTGGAGTGTCTACACAAGGGTTTGAACTGGCTTAATTCAGTTTAAAATTGCCCCTTTAGTTAAACCAGTGCAGATTTCTTGGGCAAACAAAGTACACTCATTGGAGCCTTACCTTACTGTTCAGCCTACAATGTTCCTTTTCTTAATTTTGTCTCGCCACCCTTAGCTGTTCCCCCTAAGCAGTTCACCTTTCATGGTGTCCACACCTTCGAAATCCTTAGGTAATTATTACTGCTCCATCACTGTGTAGCCAAGGTATGCTTTGTTTTTTGGTCCTTCCTCATACGGCAGCACTTTCAGCCCCTGTAGCCTTATAAACCAGAGCTCAGTGAGGAGTGAGTATTTATTTATGGTGGAATTGTAAGTAGAAGCTTGGACAGACTCTTCTGTTTACCTCTCATGTCTCCATGCTGGGCGAGAGTCTTCCTTTCCTTGAGGACTTCTCTTTTTCTCACCCATTCCAGCATGCCCACCTCCTTTAAACCCCAATCAAATCCATGAAACATCCTAGACAGCCTTTGTGGTTCTTACTGGCTTTGATGTTACCATGGGATTCATCTTCTGGGTCCTCCACATACAGCATTCTGACATGGGAACAACGTCATTCCAAAAACTGCCCTGAGCTAATGGCTCGAGAGGGGGAAAGTCTGACACTCGGAGTTACATAATCAAGCATATTATGGTGTAGCAACATGTATTGGGTCCCCCCCACTGTTTATTATCTCTCTCCTCATGACAGGTGGGACAACCAATGCTTCAGCTGGCTTTAGTTCCTGCCAAGGTGCTTGTGTAGTTATAGGGCTAAAGAAAAGATCACTCTTCTCGGTCCATCCCGCTCCTTACCCCTTGGCATGTCTCTTCTCTGTGCCAGGCTGATCAATGTAGAAGACTCCATACTGAAGGCGAGAGAGGAGAATTCTGTGAAGTACCAGAGGACATTCCTGGGCTGTGAAATGATTGACTGGCTCATCCAGGAAGGGGAGACAGCAAACAGAAAGGAAGCTGTGGAGCTGGGCCGAGCGCTGCTGGAACATGGGATCATTCAGCATGGTAAGCCGAAGTGCCTGGAGATGGGGAAGGAAGGTGACGGATGGGGCTAGCTATCATTGCTTTGCTTGGAACAAACCCTCATTTATAACAAGTAACAAATGCTGGTCATGTGCCGAGTGCTAGTTTCTACTCGGAGATAGCAATGGGTCCATTTAGTTCTAATTTTGGAAGAGGGGCCCGGGCAGTCTGGGGTCACCCTTGAATGTTTGAGACGGAATCTGAGTCACTTTTTCTGGCATCTCTTCAAAGTGTCATTCCCAAGCCACAGAACTGGGATTCACATCTGGATTTCAAGACACTTGAAGCCTGCTTGTGCACACGCTCTGTGAGATCAGAGCTGAGATTCCTCGCCAACATTATAAATGAAGAAATAAGGCTGTTGAAGTGGAGGGGCTCGTTCAATATCTGGCCCATTTCTAAGGCCATATATTTCAGAGGGCTCGTCTACCTGGCGAGTTACTGCGGAGCAGGTGAAAATGCAGCACCCCAGTTTGCAGAGACAAGCTCTGAATTTGCTTGTCCAGAGAGACAATGGCTCTGTGACAGTGCTGCCCCCATTCCTCTGGGAAAGGGTGGTAACTCTTTCACCGCTCTGAGGCGGTAAATAGCACTGATAGAGCAGCACCACTTCTCTCCCACCTCCTCCTCCTCCTCAAACCAACAGGGAAAAAAATCTCATTCTTGCCAATGAGGAAATGCCTCACTGGTTATCAACTTAACGTCCTGTCAGTTATTTCTGTACCACCAATAAACCCAACTCTAGCTGGTAATAACCCCAGCCTTACTGGACTGTGGGATTTTCACTGGAATGTTTTTTACTTGACATTATCAACATTACTTTGGTGTGCTCCTGCAGTGCAAAGCATTGTGGGAGGTGTAGTCCCACACTCTGCTATGCCTGGCTGTTGGAGAGGTGGGGGGTTGGGAGGGGAAGGGATGAGACTGCATCCCATGGCTGGGTTTGATAATGGAATAGCTTCCTCCCCCACCAGACCCTTGTGATACTGAAAAGGGGAATAAGAACACACCCTGTCTTGAAAGTCCTGAGCATTAAAAAAAATCCTGAATCAGGCTCCCCAAAAGACCGAGGCTTTAAAAATAATGATTGTTGGGCTCCTCCTATTTGCCTTCTGGTTTCTGAGCTTTAGGTTTGGTTTTAGCTTTTATGGGGTTGTGTTTTCAAGCTTTTCTCTGCAACCCTGTGGGTTAGAAATTCACATTTTGTTTTGTAATGAAAGCTGAGAGTCTCCCCTCCTCACATGACTCCAGGGGCTGGGGATTTAAGAAAAGAAAAATACCAAATATTGTGACACTCACTAGAACTGGTAACACTGCAAATGGTGCATTGGTAACACTGCAGCAGGTCTTCTCCTCCACCCCTGCTGCTGAATGGCAAAGATGTAGCTCCCCTTTGCTATGAGACCCCTGACGGCCGCCCTACCCGTTCCTGTTCTCTTCCCAGTCTCCAGCAAGCACCACTTCTTTGACAGTAACCTGCTCTACCAGTTCCGGATCAACTTCCGCCGGAGGCGACGGCTCACAGAACTGCTCAACGAGAACTCGCCCCGGGCTTTGTCAGAGAGTCCTGACAGCCCCTTCTGCCTCCGCAAGCTCAACCCGGAGCAAGGCAACTCCAGCTTCCTCTCAGGTAATCAGGGATGCTGGGGCAGGGGTGAGATTGGAGGGGGTGCTGCTTCTACTGAGATTGTGTATGGGGCAGGTGGCATTGCTGCTGGTTTTGAATGCCCCTCCTAAGGAGCTGGTGTCGGGCAATGTCCTGGGACTGGCAGCTGGCAGCTCCTTGCTCTGTTCCCCATGTTCTCCCCTCACACCCTCAGGAAAACAACTCAAGTCTCTCTGCTCCTTGGTTTTCCCCTTCCCAATAGAACAGCTAAAGGCTCCTCTGTGAGTGACCACTTCTTTCCCGGATCATCAGTGCACCCTCCTGAATAGTGCAGGCCCCAAACATCACCTGAGGGGGGCTGCTGTTAAAGCACCTCTGATCCAGCAATCTCTTGTGCACATCCTTTTGATTTAAAGGACCCGACAGGCCTCCTACCCATAGCAGAAGGGAATCTTGCACTGCTTCCAGTTCAGCTTTTAGATTAAAAAAAAAAAAAAATCTGGGCTCCTATGGCTTGGGGTTGATGTCAGCTATGCTGAGTTGCAGGGGTCAAGTGAGAAGCAGGAAACAAGGAGAGCAACATGAGAAGCAGGAAAATAGATCTAACTCCTGGGGATGAGACCTGGCTGGTATCCAAGCTCCTGCTGTCACTTCTGCCAGCCACCTGCAGGGATTGGTTCTTGGCCCCATGCTAATTAACATTTTTACAAGTGGCCTGAAAGGACACAGAAAATCATCGCCGATGAAGTTTGCAGATGAGACACGAAGTGAGGGAGTTCTAAATTATGAAGAGGACCAGGGACGGATTCAGAGAGATCTGGATTGTTTGGAAAACTGGGTTCAAGCAAACAATACGCACTTTAATATGGCTAAATGTATATATCTAGGACCAAAAAAATGTAGGCCGTACTTACAGGATGGGGGGACTCTATCCTGGGAAGCAGTGATTCTGAAAAAGATTTGGGGTTCATGGTAGTGGATAACCTGCTGAACACAAGCTCCCAGTGTGACACTATGGCCAAAACAGCTAATGCGATCCTGGGATGTGTATATAGGGGAATCTCAAGTAAAAGCAGAGATACTCCTACTCTTTACCTCTGTATCTGGCATTGGTGCGACCACTGCTGGAATACTGTGTCCAGTTCTGGTGCCCTCAGCTCAAGAAGGAGGTTGATAAGTTGTAGAGTGTTCTGAAAAGAGCCACAAGAATGAGTAAAGGATTAGAAAACATGCTTGTAGTGATAGACGCAAGGAGCTCAATCTATTTAGCTTAAAGAGAAGGTTAAGGGGTGACGATCACAGTCCATAAGTGTCAACGTGGGGAACAAATATTTAATAATGGGCTCTCCAATCTAGCAGAGAAAGGTATAACATGATCCAATGGCTGGAAGTTGCATGTGGACAAATTCAGACCGGATATAAGATGTACATTTGTAATGGTGGGTGTAATTAACCACTGGAATAAATGACCAAGGGTTGTGGTGGATTCTCCATCACTGACAATTTTTAAATGAAGATTGGATGGTTTTCTGAAATATACGTACGAGGGATTATCTTGGGGCAGTTCTCTGGCCTGTGTTATCCAGTCTAGATGATCACAGTGGTCCCTTCTGGGATCCTTGGAATCTATGAGCCCTCACACCCACAGGCCTTGCTAGGTAAAGACTAGTGAAGGGAGATCCTCTGAAGGTTTAGAGTTTCCTAAATCACTCAGACCTCCTGAGTCGGCAAAAGTGGGCTGGGTAATTTGTAAGGACTGAATTCCTTGGCTGAGGGCATATGGACGTGAGTGCATTGAGGGGGAGGAGAACTGCTTCTCTGACTGTCAAACCTGGGCTGAAAAAGCAGGCCAAACTCTAGCCAAACCAGTCTGCTCACCCCTAGCCAAGATCTGGGAGGAGTTGTATCTGTGTCTTTCAGTCCAGCCCAACAAGGAGATCAAAATAGTCTCAGCAGTTCGGAGGAGCAGCGTCACCTCTCTTGCCGGAAGTTCCAACCCCTATTTCGCTCCGACGCCCAGCCTGGGATTCCTGCCAGCAGCTGAATGCAACCCCAAATCAGGTGAGGTCTCACATTTCAGTGTCACTTACCTAATGATCAGAAGGGCTGAAGAGATGACATTAGACTTGAGACTAAGAAGGCTAATTTCAACAGGCCTAAAAGGAAAGGGCAGAATTGCATGACCAATGCTAAGGAAGTTCATCTTCCAGGCAGTAGCTCAATTCCTGTTCTAGTGCAGGGGGCAGATGGCAGTGTGATCTTGGCTTGGCACCAGAAAGGCCTTAACTTTGCCATTCCATAATTAAGGTTGAAGCTAGCTTCTTGCTGTATGCCACATTTTTATACACCGCCTCTCATTGCAATGAAACCATTTCTGGAAATGTTGTATGCCTCCTCTCCTCTCAGGGCAGACCCTTTCTGTTTAAAAACAAACACTATTATATCAGAAAGGTTTTAAAGTTTTGATCCCTGGAGCATGTTTACTTGTACACCACTTTTGAGAACAGTTTTCTGAGGCGGGCTGTCTTTTTGAAGGGGTTCGTTACATCTCCAAAACAGCATGCTTAGAAGCTGCAGATTTGTGGTGGTGTTTTGGTCTTTCTAAGGAGAAGGGCCCTTTGGAATGCTGGGCTCTGTAAATACGTGCGTATATTAGAGCACATTGCAACATGATTAATTTCTACGCACTTTTTTTTGAAGAAAACAAATTCTTTTGTGTTGATCAAAGTATTTCAGGTTCTCCTTGGAAAACAGAAACTTAATTTCCATTTTCAAAAACTTAACAACTATTTTTTTCTTGTTTTAAACGGCCCTCCCCCACTCTTTTGTTGTGGGAAGGAGAGGGACGTTTCAGTGGAAACTTTCCCTGCCAGTTCTAATACTTGTATAGAAGCGATACAGATAAGGAAGATGTCTGAATTTGTCCCAGACCTGCTCTGTTCTTGTAGAATGCTTTTTGCACAGAAAAGCTTTGAATGGTTTGTGCGTCCATTCTCCAGGCTGGTACTTCCCAGTCTTCCTTGTTATGCATTATATTGTATTTAACCTTTACACACGTGATTATAATCGGATCTGTCACCTTTGGCTCCAGTGCTAAAGAGGCCTGTCACCAATGAGGAGCTCCTGTCCCCCGGGGCTCCATACATCAAGAAGACACTAACCGTAAGTGACCAGTCAGAACGCTGTAACATTAGCAGTAATGCTAAACCCTCCCTGGCTGCCCTGTTAGCTTTCTAGGTGCTCTCGTTTTTCACTCTTGTGTGTTTCAACCGTGATTGACTCTCACGTCATCAGGACCCTTTTTCTTTGCTCGACTCACATGAGATTTGTGAGCTGGTGCCTTGGGCTATTCTTGTGTTTTGAACGGGCAGTGCCTGTCTCCAGGTTGGTGCCACTTGCTGACGTTTTGTATATGTGTCAGGGTGGAGAAAAGTCCTTTTAAGGAGAAAACTCCATTGTACAACAGCAGCCTTGCTTGTCAAAGACATTAAAACATTCATTTTCCTTTCCTGTCACAGGTTGATTGCCTTTCCATGCCACTCTGTGTGCACCTGGTTCCTATGATCTACTTACAGATAGCTGAAGGCATCTCTAAGTTTGTTAAAATACTCTGTGGGTTCAAAAGGGAATAGGAAACCATTCTGAACACTAGGAATGTTCAGGCGTCAAGCTCCTGGTTCGGACTCCAGGATAACTTAGGAAACCATAGTTGTTGGAAATTTTTATTATTATTTGTATTACTTTTGAATCTAGTGACTTCAACAGATCATAGATAGGCCAGATAGGATCATTATTAGGGTTGCCAATTTTGGTTGGATGTATTCCTGGAGGTTTAATTACATGACATAATCTTTAATTAAAGATTAATCTTTAATTCCTGGAGATTCCAGGACAATCCTGGGCCCATTGTGCAAGGCACTGTATGCGCCCATAGTGAGAGGCAATCCCTGCCCTGAAGATCTATCTATCTATCTATCTATCTATCTATCTATCTATCTATCTATCTATCTATCTATCTATCTATCTATCTATCTATCTTTTTTCCCCTCTAAATGATAATTTGCATACCTCTCCTACTCTTCCTTCTTCACTCCCTTGCACAGGAATGGAATAGAATGCATCTCCAATCCATGAGCCAGATCCTTCAGTCCAGCTCCACTGGACACTGAGAGATTCACTTTATACCAGGGGAATCTCCAAGTAGCCAGTTAAAAATGTTTTATGGCCCACTTGCCCCACCAGAATGGCACAAGGGGGCTGTAGGAGAGCAGTGGATCTGGCCTAAAGAGAGTGCCAAAAAATTGACTTCCTGTTTGGCCTCTTTCTGAGTGCTGTGTTTAAGGACATGCCATTCGTTCTCAATACCAGCCTTGCCCTGACTTTCAACTCTGTCAAGCTGGGCCTTTCCGCTGCTGCTTTGGTCCTTTTGCACGGCTCACTTCCTCTCCTTAGCTGTGCTGCTGCTGTTGCTGTTTTGTAACATGTGATGCCCTTTGTGGGTTCCTTTGTATGTGATGACCATTACAGCATGCTTCTCAGACAAGCTGGGATTGGGGTGGCGAAAGTGGGGGAAAAGGATGTTTTTGTTCAGCATGTGACTTCCCTTGCCAGCAAAAGTGCAAGCGTTGTGCATGGTGCAGCAGTGTCTCTTGGTACGTTCTTTGCATGTGACTTGCTTTAAATCTTGCATCGTCTATGCGTGATCCTTATACTCTTGACAGCATGGAATACTAGTTAGAAAGTAACTTTGGAGACAATCTCAGGTAAACCTTGTGGGTTTGAGTCTCATTTGGTGTATGGCCCAGAAATATATTGTTGCTCCTCTGATGAGTGGCAGAAGATGTCAGGGGTCCTAGCAGGTTGGTTTCCTGTTAGAGGGGGAATCAGCAACACAGAGCCTGGATATAGTCTTACTGTAACTTGTTTTATTTACACTATATACACTTGTCCTTGAACAGAAGTGGTCACAAATGCCTTCATCACCAGGTTCAAGAGTTATTCTTTCTCTTTGGCTCAATGAATATTTAATACTCAGTGGAACAGCTTCAAGAGGAGAGACTGGAGCAACCCATCACAGAACAACCTGTGGCCTCTTGGTTAGGAAGCTCACTTGGGAGGGAGAATACTGAGTTCAAGATCTGCTGCAGAATGGGGAGTCAAACCTGGGTCTTCTACATCCCAGTCAAATGCCCTAACCAGAGATGTGTGCACACGTTTTCTGAAGCTGGCTGGCCCACTCTAGAGTTTATCTCACTGTAGAATATATGTGATAATGGGGCAAGGCTAAACACTGACCACTTCAGTTCAGCAGAACTCCTTTGCGTGGTCATCTACATGCAGGCAAGAAAATCTCTGTGAGACCCTTACAGTCCTTCTGTTCTGCTTGCAGATTGTGGGGGATGCTGTGGGCTGGGGGTTTGTGGTCCGTGGAGGGAGACCCTGCCATATCCAGGCTGTGGACCCAGGAGGACCGGCTGCTGCAGCAGGCATGAAGGTACTGTATAATCTGGATCTTCCTTGTGTAGCACGTGATATCACTTGTACGCCGATCAAACGTGTTGGGCCAAATTCATCCCCGGCATTAATCCACTGACTGCAGTGGGGGTGAATTCAGTCATCGCTCAGTACTATGTGTCAAAGCTGTAGCAGTCCCTGCGACGCTTGGAGTGAGGATTGCAAAGCATGCGCCTCCTTGCCGGCAATGGGACCTCTGCGTGTTAAGGTGGCTGGAGCCTGGCTCTTTTCAAGGGCTTATGAAGACCCAGCTGTGGCTGCTCTGATCTAAACCTCGGCATGGGGGGAGAGCCAGTGTAAAGGGAAACATTGCATGGCCCATTACATTGCATTACCTCTACAGACCGGTGTCAACAAATACCTGTGTCACATACTACGCTGTGAGAGCTTGACCCTGACTCTGGGATCGTAGGTCGCCCGATGAGTTTATTTCGGAGAAGAATTTTGAATGCTATGGCTATTGTGTTCTGTTCAGGAGAGACCTAGAACAACACAGCAGAGATGCTGCAAGACACAATTGTGCTTTGTCACTGCCGTGTGAGGGAGGTTTGCACAGGGCCTGCCCTTGGCTGGATCTGCCTCTAGTCAACGTCGTCATCTTCAATTTCATTAGCATCCTATTTGTAATGATTCTCCCCATATGTGGCTTGTCAACAGGGCTCAAACCCAGGACCTGCAACACAGACCTCTACTACTTCAACTAAAGGAGTAATTCATTAGCTGATAGCATTAATAGGCTGTTATCCTCTAGCACACCAGCTGCCGAGAGAGATGTGACACACACACTGCCAGTGTGTTAGGTATTCACTAGAAAACTACCTGTTCTTTCCCTTCTGTAACTGGGATTTCAACATTTATCTTTGTCCTCAGTCAGGATGAAAAGTCAAAATATTGACACCATCCATGGGATGGGAAGTTCAGAAAAACTTCTATTTGGACATGTTTTTGTTGTTGTGGTTTGGTTTTACACAGAACTGCACCCACCTGAGCTGCTGCAATGCTTCATGAGATTTGTAGTTCAGATGCCTCATGCCCTCGTTCTCTGCTATAGGCCAGACTCCCCAGATGGACTACAACTCCCATGATGCATTGTGACAGCTCAACTGGGGAGGGGGGAATTGTGGTACATCATGGAGGATTTAGTCCAGCCTGGAATCCAGCCCTCAGACAAGGATGGGGGCATGTGATGCCTGAACTAAAACTCCCATGAGGCATTGCAGCAACTCAGACAGACACAAGCTAATGTTGAATTGACCCAAACCAAAACATTTTGATTCAGGTCAAGAAATCAGAATGTTTAGATTTGGGTCAACCTGAAAATTGTTTCAATTTTCTTGATGAAAAAATTTCAGTTTTGTCAAAAAATATTCAACTTTTCCCTGTGGGACTTTGATTTTGTGGAGACGTTTTCTGTCAATAAAACAAAACAAAAAAACAAATATCCAAAAAAACTTTTCAGTGGAAAATTCCCAATCAGCTCTAACTGATAATATACCGCATATGAATTATTTAATGCAGGGAAAGAGCAGCACACTGCTGTGAAACACCCAGTATTAAAGCTCCTGGGGTAATAAGTGTGTTCTGTCTTACAACTTTCTTTTTTGGTGTGTGGAATTTTTTCTTTGCTTGTGAAAGCTGCAGAATGACTCTGCAGTGATAAATCATTCCCTTTGGGGACAGGGAGAAGAGTTTGCCGCCATTCATCTTGTAATCGCTCTGCTGAATCCGGCTCGTATGCAATGAGCTGAGCTTCTGAAAACCATTTTAGACCAACAAACCAAGAATAAATGGGCTGTGTGCTCTGGCTGAAGATCAATTTCTAAGAGTAAAGGAAAGAGGAAATTTATAAACCCCCCAGCAGTCGAGGAGCAATTTTTGTACAGGTCTTGTTTATCCTTCAAGTCACTTGCTGGGATATTGGAAGTAATAAGATTCTTCAGAGACAGAAACAATTAGACTTGCTCATATGCTTCAGGTGGGATTGGAAGGGAACAGGTGCAGGTGAATTTGTTCCATTTGCTCAAGAGCTCATTTCATCTGACCCTTTCCTCTAGTCTCATTATTTTAAAAAATTAGCAAATATTAATATTAAGTCTCATTGTCAGCTTTTTACATGTACATCACCTGCTCATAAAGGGGGCTTTGCATTCACCATTTGCTCCCAATATAAATCCCTTGAGTTACCATTAAGAATCTAGTCCCTATTAGTGCAATTTATAAAGTGTATACAATGCTTTCCGGTTGTAGGATTTGGTAAGAGATATCTTCATCACAAAGTCTCACTCTTCTGAGCAGCTGCACTTGCAGTGCAGTCACATCACTGTAAAACATTCCTCTCTCTCCACTGCAGGTGTGTCAGTTTGTTTTCTCTGTGAACGGAATGTACGTTCTGCATTTGGACTATCCGACCATCAGCAGCCTCATCATGACGGGACCGCGAACGCTTGTTCTGGAGGTCATGGAAGCCATTGAATAAGTGAAGAATCCTCTCCTCATCACTGATCCAAGAGGCGGGATGCTTCAGCTACTAAGGGATGGAGGGATCATTTACATGAGTCTGCTAAAATTAGGGGACGGACCAAACCTGGTGTCTCCTCCTAAGAGACTAGGCCTGAAATGTAGCCTGACATTTTGACTTGTCTTAAGTAATTGGAATCTGATGGGGAAGGTCTCTTTGGCTCAGACAGGACTGAGGTATTCGTGGCTCAGTGCCTAATCCTGAGAGATGATGAGCACTCACAACTCCTTTTAGGTTATGTCTACACTACTCACCGGATCAGCAGGTAGTGATCGATCTACCAGGGATCACTGTATCGCGTCTCGTCTAGACGCGATACATCGATCCCCGAACGCTCTGCCATCGACTCCGGAACTCCACCAGGGTGAGAGGCAGAAGTGGAGTCGACGGGGGAACAGCGGCCTTCGATCCCGCGCCGCGAGGACGTGAAGTAAGTCAATCTAAGATACGTTGACTTCAGCTACGCTATTCTCGTAGCTGAAGTTGCGTATCTTAGATCGATTTTCCCTCCCTAGTGTAGACCATGCCTTAGAGTCAATGGAGGTGCTCGATCACACTCAGGATTGGGTCCTTAGCGCACATGGTCCTTTCACCTACAAGGACCTGAGGTCAAGTCGCAAGTTAAGTAAGAATTGAACTGAGTTTGTTTGATCTCCAGGAACCGGTAAGTGAGGAGAAGCTTGTTGTTTTTGTTTAAAAAACCTACCATTCTGTGTGATGACCCTGAGCAGAATATCTGAGCTCAGGAGACTGCCCGGCACCAAGAGTCAACGAAAAACACCTTATCTGAAAGCTGTACGCATTCCAGATGATGCAGTACATGGCGCTGGTGACCACATCAAGAAATAAAGGAAAGAATGCCCCAGTGAGTTACGTTTCCTTATAAACAGGAAAGAGACCCCTTTTCCAGATGGAAGTTGACATACTCAAGGGAAATAACTTTTATTTTTGAAGCATCTAAGAGGTTTCCAACATTTAAATGTTTGAAAATGTCTTTTTAAACTATATTTTTAAAACTACTGTAGCTGAAAGTGTCTTTTTTAAATAAAATCTGTTTAGATGCTGATTTGTCAGTGTTTTCATATTTGATTAGAGAGTTCCTCTTTCATCACTTTCTTCAATGCACAACATGCCTCCCTCTAATGATGTACTGTCTCATAAAACTGATATTCTATAGACTTGTAATACAAATAATTAAAAAAATAAATAAACCAAAGAAATACAACAGGATTACTCTGCAGTTTCTTACACATACCCTCTTCTACTTATGCTTACGCTGTTAAATGTTATCAGAACCGACTCTTCAAATCTACAACAGGCTTCTGTCAGTCCTAAATATGCCTTCGCTCCCAACACTTATGAGTTAATTCATTACTGGAGCTGGCTGGGAAATGGAATTTCTGTCCTGGGAGGGTTTGGGGAGGGAACATTTCTTGGAATCTTTTCATCCTGGAATGGGACAAAAAAGCCAAAAACTAGTTTTTTTTTCCAGACCTGAAATTCTGCAATATTTTAATTGGGAACACTGAAAGATTCCTGCTGCATCTCTGACATGAAATATGCCCAGTCAGCTAGCCAGGCAACCAGAGAGTCCAGAAAGCTTGTCTATCAGTCAGGTGAGCAGCCCAGTCACTCACTTCATTTGGGGCCTCAATTGGAGCTCACCTTCTGAAAATCTGAGCCTGATTGTAGATGCTGAGGACGTGTAAAAATCTGTTCCCAAGTGTGCATCATGGCTGTAGAAATGGCTGCTCTACTGATTTACTGCGGCCCCTTGCATTGCCTCTGCTGTTGATGAAACACAACTATTCATTCCCCTATCATTGGTGCAGCTAGCATGGGGATTTGTTGTGATACTGCTCAGCAAATCACTAGAATATCGGACAGCAAGCTATTGTAGTGGAGGATACACACAGGTGCTTGCAGGCACTAGAGGGAAACTGGGCAATCTTTCAATCCATTTATCAAGATGCTGGCAGTTCCCATTTCCAGCCAGGTGAAATAAAACGCGTGCAAAGAAAGCTGATTGGTACCCAGAGCATCTTAATAGATACACGCGTTTAAACTCCAGTTTGACTTGGATGCATAAGTAGTGTGTCAACTCTGGGATCTACTCCAAACTGTAGGGTTCTCGCTAAGTGTAGGAAAGGCCAGTAAAGGTCCAAGTTGTCAGGTTCCCATGCAGTGATCTTAAGGCAAGTAGAGAGGGATACCATACCAACCTTTCTTTGGATCCAGAACTGAGCGCAGAGGCCCAAAACCCAGTAATGAAGTTCTGATCTGGATCAAGATTTTTTCCCAAAGTTCAGATGAGGGTGGGACACAGTGTTCCATTTCACGCATACTTTTAGTTTTAGGATAAACAGTAGCAACTATAGGCAGCTATTAAAATCCATGGGAGTTCCAAGAAAAGTAAATTGCTTTACTTAAAGGGAGAAGTGGGTGGATTACAGTGAAGGAATTATGAAACACACTTTGTTTTCTTTTGATAAGTTTGAAGCTGTTTCAGTTTTTGCATGAACGATATTACATTATAATAATTTGTGTAATATTAAAAGTATAAAATAAAACACTTTTATGTATTTTAAATATTTCTGAAATGAAACTTTTCAGAAATTTCATTGTGTGGAAAACTTTTGCCTTTTCATTCTGATTCAGGATGAAAGAAAATTCCAAAATGTTGGAATTTCCCATGCAATGGAAATTCCAAGTTTTTCACCAGCTCTAATTGTGACACAATAGGATAGTGCCGCTGTTAATCACTGGAGATCTCTTTTAAAATCTACTCTAAAATTATAACACAGTAAGGATGTCACTGTCATCTGATGTATTCTGGGCAGTGGGTCCAAACTCCAGACCTTTCATTGAACCTCAGTAGTGCTGCTGGTGGGAGAAGAGGATTCTTCCAGAATAATCTCTGGTTGCAAACCTGACTCTATAACTTTGGCAATGGATCAGATACAAAAGCTGACAGTATTTCACTAACACTACTGTTTTCACAGGATTTTGGCCAAGAACAGTGTAAATCTTGCGAGCGCTGCTAATGTTGTGAAACTTCCATAATTTGGGGCCAAAATTACACCCAGCAGTTAATAAGACTTCAGCAGCCTCAAACTCTGTTCCCACAATTCAGGTCCCAGGCTTGCAAAACTTACAGGTGTGCTTAACTTCGCTCAAGGACATGCAGGATCAGGGCCTCTGAAATGTTCAGGCAACTTAATCAGATGTGGAAATGTCCAGCTTGAATCAAACTCTAATTCTGAGTTAGTAAAATGCAAGGGAATTCCACCTTGCCTTCCTTGCTGCACTCCCAAGAAATTCATAGATCTCCTCCTTGCTGGATGGTTAGTATTTGAGCCCTCCCAAAATGCTTAACAAAATCAAGCTTGGTTTGCAGAAAAATAAAATAATCTATTTTACAAACCAGATTTGATTAGCCATATGTAGCAGTCCAAATCTGAAGAGTTGTTCTGTGCTTGGTGCGTAAAAAGGGTGGGGAGAAATCAATAGTGCATTCTCTCTCTCTCTCTCTTTCCCTCTGTCAGCAGTCGAGAAATCTTTCAACTATTCTGAGAGGCGGGCGAAGTGCTGGCTTCCTTTGTCAGAGATCAAGAATGTAGTCGGATTCTTCGCACCTCCCCAGCCAACTTCAGGGAAAATAAATTGAAAAGCAAAGGTTTGTGACAGATCCTTGTTGGTTTCGAAGCTGTTTCGATTTCTCTGTGCTAGGCTACAGGGGGCTGTATTGTTTTGTAGAGTGTGCTTTTTTGCCTGTACTTTTTCCTTTCTCTTGACAGAATAAAGAACTTCTATAGACCTGCAAACTTTGTGAAACTCCCAACTAGTGCATTGACCTAGCCAAAGTTTGATGGTTTTGTACAGTTCTCAATTCCATAGCGACTGTAGATCCTGAAAGTTTAGAATTTTGATCTCTTTAAGGTGAAGTAACTTTTAGACTCACGTTATCCTGTGATGAAGAGTAAATTCCCCCAGAACTGACAGGAATGTCTTTCTTATAATCATTTGATGCTCTGTAGATAGCGAATGGTGAGATAGTGTAGAGAGTGGTGGACATTAGAAAAGGAACCCAGTTTTGATCTTTAGTGAATTTTTTGTGGCACACAACCTGAGGGAATTTCTTATGAGGGGTGAAGTAGTTAGAAGGGTTTGTTAGATCACAACTAATCCTGGTTGTCTGGATTGTTTTTCCCCAGCTGTTTCTGTGTTTATATGCCTGTACCAAACTGATACTAAGCTTATCTATGGTTTGGGGAATTTTAACCCTGTAAGGGAACCTAGTACCTTAGCATTCCTTTGAGGTTTTTCTCTCCTAATCTTTCTGCAGCTTCCAAGTCCCTTTAGAACCCTATTAACAGCATCTTTAAATTCTCTTCAATTTACCTGTTGAACATGGTGAAGGTAAATATAGGAGCAAAATCAAAGGTGCTAAGTGCCTTGCAGGGGGCATGAGAAAATATTGGTTTAGAGGAGTCCTGTCCCTTTGCTCGTTTTATACAGCACAACATGCAGCCCCGACTACATAATCAAAAGTGTGGCAGGTGCTGGAAAAGCAACCCACAACATGTTTTTGATTCAGTGACTAGGCATTTTTCACCAAACCGCCCACACTTTTTGTTTTTTCAAGTCTGATTTTGCAAATGTTCCAGTCCTGAGATAGCAAGTCACCCCATGATGCTAAGCAGGTATCTCTTCCTGGGATCTGGAGCAGGTGACTGACTCTGGAAGGTGTTTGGGAAGCTTAGAACTAACTGAATTTACCAGCTCCAGGTGTGTCAATCTCTGAAGGGAAATTCCACTCGGCCAATGATGCTGGCTTCACCTGTCATCCTCTCCCATGAGTATCTTTGTGGTTCTTCTCATGTAGCCTCTTGTGAATGGAAAATCCTCTCTGAACTAGGCCATAACACTGCACCTTCAGCAGAACCACTTGAAAAGCATGCCAATTTTGTAGAAAACCTCATTTTCTTTGGTTGAAAATAAAATTTTTGAAAAACTTCTATTGCAAACTTGGAAAATGTCATCCGGTGCTAACCTTCAAATCCCATCCCAAAATGCACTTGATACTGATGGGAAATTGCAAATTGACAACTCTAGGGGAGAAGGTTGCTAATATCAATGAATTCAATATTTTTAAGGATCAGGAACCAGCTAAGCCAGACAATGTAAATTCATGCTCTTCTTGCTGGCTCTTTTTGCTCCTGGCTTCATCCCTTCCTATTGCTGATGTTAGCTTGTTGCATCTTTTTAAACTAGACTATCTATGACTTTGTGGCAGGGACACTTTCCTGATGCATTTGTGCAGCATCCAGAACTCTGAGCCTGACTGGAGCTTTTGAGTGCTACTCGTATATTATGATAATGACAATATTATTATTATTAGACCCACTTTGAAAGGTGGCATGTTCCCACACACAGGAAATCCTAGTGATGGGAAATAGGTATCATGTGCTCTATGTACGGTCCATGAATTCCTTCCCAGAGTATATAATGGGAGAAAGGAATCCACATGCTGGAGGCTCTGTGCTGTCAGAAGAGATGATGTCATATTGGTCCTGTCAGTATCTTGCACTCACCTCTGCATGGCTGAATGCTTACCCCATTAATGGCAGAAATAAACAGGTGGAATAACATGGGAGGCGGTTTGCTGTTCAGCAGTTAACCCTTAGGGTCTGAAATCTCACTCACCTGCTGTTGGGGGAGGGATAACTGCCTAACTTTCATCCACACTTTCCAGCTGTGGCTTTCCAAGCACTTTACCCTGAAGCTCTGTATTGTTGTTTTCACTTTACCGGTGGGGAAACCGAGGCACAGAGGTGATGTGACCCACCCAAGGTAACCCAGCAGGCCTGTAGCAGAACCCAGGTCTCCTGAGTCCTACTCTAGTGCTCTATGCACTAAGCCATAAGGACGCAGGTATACTTCTTACCCTTGGGTTATTTTCTGAGTCAACACTTGATAAACACGATAAATATATTACTCCCCCCGACTGAAGCTTAAAGGTACAATCCTCTGTCTGAATCAGAATATTGCAATGGGCTTGATCCAACACCCATTAATGTAAATGGGATTCTTTATATTGAAAAGCATTATATACGAGCCAGGTGTTATTAATTACTTTGCTTTCTTAACCTAATGGACTTTGGATCCAGCTTAATCTTTGCTGAAGTGGAGAAACCCATGTACAATTCAATCGGATTCCTCCAGATGGCATTCTCTTTGCCGCTGATCCTCCTCGCAGAGCTATGGGAAAGATTGCTGGCATAATAAATAAAGAGCAATTAAAAAAATAGTATTCCTAATTTTAATTCAGGGTCTTTTTTGCAAGTCCTGAATTGTTGGCTTTGCATCAGGCAATCATAAAAAGGTGGGCTTTGCATTTTTTGCTATGAAGGTTGATCTTTACCTCAACACAGTTTCAAAATGTGGATATTTTCCCACGAAAATATCTATATAAAATGGAAATGAGAAGCAAGATGCTGAAGCTTTCAGATTTTGAAGGCGAATTGCAATTGTTTCACACAGCCGAGTGCCTTGCAATGAACACAGTCACTGCAGGGGTGTAAGTTAACTACCATATGTTGCAACTTGCATGTCTTTCCATTGCAGCATTTTACAGTTCCTGGATTAAAAGTGTAGGAAATTCTGGCTCACCTACCATTTTTTCCTTTTAACTAATGAGGAGCTGACGCAATTGGTGGGAAATAGAAATTTGCCAGAGGCCACTTTGTAACTGTCCATCGTCTTGTACTAAATTGAAATTTTGCTGTAGAGTGAATGGTAGAACTAGTGTATACAACCTGTCTATGCCAAAAGTAATAAGACTGAACAGCGTGGCTGTAGACGTGGCAGATGCTGATTATATGTTGGACTATGTGAAATGAGGCCAATAGAATAAACTTTAAACATAGGGACCATGAGACATTGGGCCTGGTGTTCCATCCCTTGAATTGTTTTTTCCCAGTTGGACCTGATTCACAGCCTGTTGAAGTTGATGGGAGTGCTTCCATTGACCTCAGTGAGCTTTGGAAGGGGTCCTTTGTCCTGATCCACACCAGTGTCAGAGAGGAGAATCAGACTCTTGGTTCATAAACAGTGCTCTCACTTACACTGCTGTAGATTCAAAGCCGCTCTTTAGAGTGCCAAATAGAATTTGCCTCTTGGTCTATAGTTGGAACAGTTTGTCCAGGGATACCTCAGGTTCTTGCAAATCTCTTTATGTTGTGTGAAGGAGCAATGAGCCAAGGCCATTATGTCTCATGACTGTGGCAATGGAAGGGGGACTTGTCACTACCTGATGAGAGCAGTTGAAATGGACTGGGTAAATAACCCACCAAATGTTTCCATAAGAGAAAAATCCCTCTTTTCTGCATGAAGATTCATTCCTCTTATGTTAGAGAAGGGCCTGAATTAGGAAACCCAGATCCATATTTGGAAACCCTATCCCAAATTCCAGGCCTGTCTGGCTTCAGGGTATTGGCATTATAAGGAAGGGACCAGTCAGAAAATTCAGGTCTGGATTCATATTAAACAACAGGTTTGGATCTGGGGGTTTGGCTTAGACCTTTCACTTCAGATGGTCCAGTTTAGAGTTCAGATTGACAACTGTTTGCCCAACACGTGGGACCATTATCAAAGTGAATTAAGGACTCGCTCTCAAGATTGGCAGGCACAAAGTTGGCACCTCCCCAGCTCTTTTAAATAAAACAAACAAACCACACACCCCTTCCCCTGTATTTTAGCCAGATGCATGTAATACCTTCAGAGGGAAATTGACTGGTTGGTATGGAGGGCCAGTGTTTGGATCTCCCTTGCTGTTACAGCTGGTGGTAAAAAAGTGTTTTGTTTTTCATGAAAAGCTGAGAGGGAAACTGGAAAAACAAATCATTTTCACTTAAATATCTTGTGGATTTTTTCAGGTTTTCATTGAAAAACTGAAAAAAATAATTGTTCATTGCCTGAAGCCCTGCAAAATATTGAGGAAAATTGGAAATGTCAAAAAGCCTTTGTGTGTTGGTGGTTTTAATTTTCTTTTACAAAACAAGTTTCGGTGAAAAGTTTAACAGGTTCTACTGGCTGAACAGGGGCTGTGTGGGGTACTGCAAGGGACCCTGCACCAGCCCTACAGGGTATGGCTGCACTGCAGCTGGGACCTGGCTCAGAAGCCAGCACCAAAGACTTAGTGCAGGCCACTGCGGGACCATGGATCTGGGTTTATGCAGGTCTAGTGGCCTCCGCTTCTGTGCAGCTGGCCTAGAGGAGATGCAGTGGCTATTCCAGCCTATCCAGTAGCAGTGTTATTGGGGCAGCCCAAGAAGCAAAAAGTCTGTTTTTCTATAGGACCTACATAAATGACAATTGGTTTTACTTTAATATTTCTCAGGAATAAAACTGTGGGTTTAAAATGTTTAAAAATGGTTAACTGGGGATGAGATCTGGATTTTATCCCCCAGAGGCCTGTAACATTTTGAAGGCCCTATCCTGCAAGGTGCTCAGTGCCCTTAACTCCCACTGAACAAGGAAAACAAAGGATCAGGGTCTTAGTGCAAATATATGGCCTAAAGCACTGTTGTTATAATGGTCCTTTGATTGCATTTCTCCCTTCCTTTGTGCTGCCCAGAAAACCTGACAAGCTCACGATCTCCTGCTGCCTTCCCTGTGCAGCCATGCATCACGCTGTTGCCTTTCTACCTAATGAGAGCTTTGGCGAGAGAGAGAGAGTCAACAAATTGCTTTGAAACCCCACAAAATACCTTCGAGGGGCCGGGGAAGAAGAGAGGAATCAAAAGAAAGTCCTCGCTGGCACCGGGGCAGAAAGATACATAAAGAGACGCTTGCTGTCAGGCATTGATTGTTCGGAAAGCTGAAGGAGCCGGGATGAGGTTGCCTGGCAGTGCAGGAAGGCAGATGGAGGCATGCAAACCGCTCACCGAGCAAGTCCTGCAGTGACATGATTGAAACTGATAGCCTCCCCCGGGAGGAGGTGCTTTGCTCTACCTTTGCCATCCATCTTGTGAAGCAGAAGGCATTGCTGAGAAAGGGCTGATTGCACTGTATAGGACTTGGGTACCAAGCGCTATATGCTAGTGGGATTGCTCATATCACTCTGCAGCCAGCCTCTTCCATACTGCTGGTGTTGTTTTGATGCAGGCGAAATGGGCTGAGTGAAGTTTCCCAACGTAGCCCTGGCGAGTGGGAGCGAAGAGTCTGTGTGTATTAGTATTCGCAGGTGTGCAGGTTCCCCACGATGTTCTGAGGCACGAGCAGCAGGGGGATTCAGCATCTGTGAAATTGTAGGCCGCTTGTATAGCGACGTCTGGCTTTTTGAATGGCTGGTTTCCCTAAGCCCCCAAAGCACGATAATTGCTCATTCAGCAATGGCAGAGTCAGGCAGCACCCAGAGCCCATCCCAGGTCTTGAGTTTGTGGAGCAGGCAGCTCTGAACTACGAACCCTAAAGCACTCAGACCAAGGATCTGCCAACATTAGGGAAAGGCTCCCACTGACTGGGTTTTGGCTCAGAAGCCATAGCACAGGCGCAGGGGCTTGCACTGCAGGTCTGTCCGTCTGTCTGCATCACGAATGGTGTAGGATTGAAGCCCTGGGTCCATCTGGATGTGGATCTGAATTTTGTCGCTGTCACTGTTTCAGTTGTACAAGATTCTCAATCCCGTTCCCGGAGTTTTGCTTTGAGTTTAGGGTTTGAACACGCATTGAAACCAGGCAACACCTTCAACTCTGAATCCAAATATTCCTCTTCTTTTCAACCCTGCTCAGGAGACAAGTCAAAACAAAAAACTATCCAAATGTGTCCCTGGTGTAACATCAGTGAAGTTCTGCCAAGAATTAACTTAGCCTTCATCTCTGGACTGCCGGCGCTACAAGCGCAATCAGGTGTGTGATTATAAAGCTGCGTCCCTTCTGCTCCATCCTCACAACAATCGCAACGTCAAACAATCTGTGCTTCGAAGAGTGTTCACTGAATAATGCTGCTCTTGTGGGCATAAAGTGTGGACTTCCCCACTCCTTATATTGTAGTCCAGAAACCCGAGAGAGGTGCTGGGTTATTTTGATGTAGCCGTGTTTTGACTTTTGCTGTGATGATTGGGAAAAAATATTATTATTTTTTTATTTTCAAAAACCCAGGCAATTCTGAATTCAAAATTGGCCATTTTGCTGATGATACGTACACTGCAGCAGACTAGAACTGCTTTTCCATACCTGTATGGGCTTCACAGTGCTGAGAGAGGATAAAAAAAATGTTTAAAATCAAGCAGATATAAAGAAACACGGGGCCAAAGTCTGCTCTGTTAGCTGTGTTGAAACTAGTGATGGTCCTGGAGGCTGAATGGCTCATCGTAGACGGCATCAGTGCAAACTTCATTACATTGCCCGTCAGTGAGCCCCTCAGTCCACTCTTAGGCGACCACTGCTCGGCGTGAGAGGGGAGCATTCACTCTTCTGCCTATTTATCAACCAGGGAGCCAAATTAGTCCGTGCAGTAAGTACGGTTTTGTTTGTTATGTGGTTAGACATAAAGTGCCTTTTCCTCTCCATATAGGACCCGGACGTCATGCTGAGTCCCAGGTCCTTCTTGTTTGCCTGCATAACCTTGGCGAGTCATGTCATAGGACACGTGCATGGTCAAGGTAAGCAGGGGGTCTCTGATCACTTTTAAAATAGGCATTGGATACAATAATTACGGGAGTGGCTGTCACCTGAGCTAAGCTAACAGATCTAGTTGGTCCAAGGCCCTGAACTCAACTTCATCACATTTCTCGGTTTGTTTGTAACCCGATAACTTTTGAACACTGTACCTGATCAGAGTGTGTGTGCGTGTGTGTGTGTTGGGAAGGGTTTCAATCTGGGGTTCAGTTTTGATCCTTTATACAGAGAGACCCAAATGATTAGAATTTGGAACCGGGGTCAAATCCAATTCAAGCCATTTCTGTTTTGGATACCTGGAAGTACTGACCCAGAATCCCAAAATGTAGCCCCAGAAAGACATTGTTTGATACGAGAGGCCCCAAATCTGAAAGGCAGACACAGTGATGGGGAGGGTTGAAAGGGAATGTTCTTCGTCTGTCCACTCTGGAGAAGGGAACCCTGTCCTAACCCCCTGGTTTTGTTTTAAGAATGGGACTAAAACAGGTATAAACCGTCAGCAGCCAAAACGCTGACCACGTCCAAATTACATTGGCAGTTTGCAAGGTTTCCTCGTCAGTGCAGAATCCATCCTGTTATTTCAATGCCAGCTAAATTACTCTTTACAGTGACATCCGTAACCGAGTGTCTTATTACCAGAGCTCTCCCCGGTTTCCTGCAAACAAAGGTCAGCATTACAAACAAATGTCAAGGAGGTGTCTTGCTTTGTGGCATCTCACGTCTCTCTGTGCTGGGGAGAGAGGGAGGGATACTTCAGTTCCTAAATATAGTCCAGTGAGTCCCTTATATAAGCATTTAACAAAGGCTCCCACACAGAGACTTATTATGATTTTGCCTCTTTGACCTTGCACCGCCTCTGGCTATGCAATCCCAGCATCTCCTGCCTTCCGGCGACAGGCACTAAATGGCTAAGGGTCTGCATTGTCTGAAGGCACTTGAGTGCCAGATGGATTCAGGTGATGTACCGAGGTATCCCACTTTAGAGCCAGGCTGGTTCCCAAGATGCAGCCATTAATAAAGGACCCTTCATATTTTCAATGCTATTGAGTTGTTTAGGCCTGAGCTGTCGCAGTACCACAAGAAAGGTTAGCGGAACTAGTCTGAACACAACTGGGATAACTTCGCAGCGGCACAGAGCACATGTGCTTCTAACGTGGATCTCCATGCCACCCGGCTGGCTGGTGGTAGTGCTGGATAGATGATCAGGTGGGTAACTGGAGGAAGGTAATTCATGTTGTGAGGGGGAGTTTTAACATGCTGTTATGGCCAGAAAAGTGGTTTTAAAAAGTTATGGATCCACTTCCTTTGCTGATGAAAATAATCACTTCTGCTGGTAGCACTGGAGGGCCAGTCCAGCTTCCAGAGGGAGAGCTGGAGTCTATTCTGGTCTGTAGAATTGCTCATGAAGTTCCCGTAGCATAATTATTACTTGGGATTGAGGAATGAGCAGGGAAAAGCTTACGTTGACCTTTAACAGCTGAAGCTGGGTTTGCAGGCCTGGTGGTTACGCAAACCCTCTTCTTTATTTTTACTTGTAAAGCGAACAGTTTTGAAGAAGAAAACACAGAGAAACAACGATGAAACCAATTTCCCACCAAACAGGAGTCCAGGGCAAACTAAGAGTAAATATACCTCAGAGAAAACAGGCAATGTTATCAAACATAACAGAAGATTTAAGTTGAGGACTGGGATAATAGCTATCTAGCAGATCAAATGGAAGCATGCTAGACAGACCTATCTAAAGAGTCAGAAGAGAGGTCATGAGTTAGCTTCATTGCCTTCATCTTTATTTTAGTCCCTGTCGTCTCTGACAGACTCTGTTAATATTTATGCTCCTGGACATAAGCAACAAAAGTTTAGGGAGGCTGATGTTCAAGGCAATGAGTTCGTTATCCTAGTAGCTCTTATCAGTGACTGTGAGACATAAACCCAACTATTAGAAAGACCTGCTAAGCCTATGGAATCCTGCATCGATATTCACTGCCCCCGCTCAGTTCTGGTTTTCCTTCTTTCTTTGTGTCAGATCAACAGCAGGGCAGCCTTAGACAGATCACGCCTAACCTAGCATTGCTCAGTTCGCCTCTGCCCCCATTTATAGTGAAACTTCCATAACAGCTGGTGGATTACATTGGTGTTATCTACAGTCCAAGTTCTGGTCCCTGCATAATTGCCAGAGTAAAGAAGTTGCATGTAGGAAAACGACACAGGCTAGGTCTACACTGCAGCTGGGCGCAGCCTCCCAGCCAAGATGTAGAGATCTGTGTTATAGGGCTCAAGCTAGCATGCTAAAAATAGCTGTGTTGGACCAGTGGTGTCATGTTAAAAAAGCAGTGGGTAAATTAACTCTTTTGGTGTTCCACGCAGGGCAGCGGCAGGGTGGACACTCAGGTGGAGAGGTGCCCTTAGTTTGAATTGGGTTTAAACTAGAATGACATCGGGGGTGAAAAGCAGAAGTGGCGTGAAAATGCATTTGTGGCGTTCATTTTCACACGCAGAGTGATCACACCCCGCCAGCATTTGCTTCTCACGGGAGAGCAGGGGTGAGTAAACGCGGTATTCCCCAAGTGAGAAGTGAAGGGCGTTTACCCGTAACTACACTATTGGTGTAGATGTTGCGGCTTGGGCAGCAGCTCTGGCTTTCAAGCCCAGGGGGTCGGGTGGGCTTGAGATCCCGAGCTGCAGCTCACATCGTGATGGCCCCTGTGCTGTTTTTAGCAAGCTAGGTCAAGCCCTGTGAGCAGGGCCGGCTCCAGGCACCAGCATTCCAAGCAGGTGCTTGGGGCGACAATCCGCAAGGGGCGGCAGTCCATGTATTTTTGCCGCCCCAAGCAGCGCGCCGAATTGCTGCTGCGGACGGCGGGGGCAGTCCGTGTGCCGTTAGGGCGGCACGCACGTTTCCGCAGCGACGGCCATTCGGCGACAGCTTCTATGTTCCGCTGCCCAGGGCAGCAATTTGGCGGCTTCTGTCTTCCATCTGAAGACAGAAGCTGCCGCCACCGCGGAAACGCGCGTGCCGCCCTAACGGCACACTGACTGCCCCCGTGCTGCTTGGGGCGGCAAAAACAGTAGAGCCGGCCCTGCCTGTGAGCATGAGTCTGATTACCCGGGCAGGGAGGCTCACTTCCAGCTATAGAATAGACATACCCACCAGAGCCAGTGCTAGTCCATTGCGGAGTCTAAGCAGGAATATTTTGGGGGCCCCCCACACAACACATACTCATAATTAATAGATTGCCCCCTTGAGCTGCTCGGGGCCCTAAGCAATTGCTTAGTCTGCTTGTTCCTAGAGCCGGCTCTGATACCCACTATGGTCTGTTATGAAGTCACCTTTTAGGGATTTAGGTGGCAGTGGGATTAGACCAGTGAATCTAAGTAGCTACAGCCCACCCTTGAACCTGTCCCCTCTCCACAAGGCTGTGGGAGACTGCTGTGAACTGTGCTCTGTGACATGCAGGGAGCACGAAGGTCTCCTGTGTAGCCTCTTTGCACCTTGCCCCTTTCAGCAGCAGGTCCATGCTGGTTCTGCTGTGTCCAGAACCTTCTGGGTAAGTGGTTAGTTCTTGGTTTCTTGGAAGGTGGCAGTCTGTCTGGATTTGAAAGAACTTATATCCATGCTGTGTAGCTAACAATCCTCCAAGGCTTCCATTTAGAGCCTGGCCATAACTCCACGTCAATTGGAGAACAAGGTTACAATATCAAAGAGTGCATGAAGAACCCAGGGCAGACAGACAGTGGGGCTTTCAGGGAGCTGGAACTCATTTGCATCCAGAATATAACAGCTCTTTAGAGAGTCGTGTCCTCATGTTCATCTGCGGGCATTCTGGCCTTTTAAATTTTGGGATCCTAGAGCTAGGGTTCAAAAGCTGGATGGCACGTGTCCATCAGAAGACAGCTCCCTGTTTCATCATGCTATGAATCTGTCATTGTTCCATTCTCTTTCCCCATTTCTGCTTAGACTTAACTCTAGGTCTGGTCCTTCCAACACTCTCTGCCCCTGCTCTTTAAAAGACACGGCGCGGGGGAAGGAAAAAAGACTTTTCATTTCCTCCGTTTTGTTTTTGCCTGGGTGGTATGTGAATCTGAGCCTTGTTTTCCAAAAATAGTTGTCGCTAGTTGAGACGTTTTCAGGAAATGTCTGGATCAAAAGGTTAAGGTGCAGATGTTGGGCTGAAACAAGTAGGCCCTCATTGCCTAAACCATTGCTAGCTGCTGCTTTGTGTCTTGGGTTGTGACTACCCAGTAAAAGATGACAAGGCATTTGAGTGGAAGACATGTTGGATCCGAGTGGGCACTCAGGATAGTGCCATTCAATGGGTGGCTTTTCCCTACAAGCACAGTTGGTCAGTTCTGAACATTGAACCTCTGGGTGTTTATAAGTTCGCTATCATTAAACACAAAGTAGGGGAGGGGAAAATGGTTCCTAAACGGTTTCTAAGGAATAGTCAAACTCCTCAACTTTGATGGTTTGTCCAGGCTGTGTTTTGCTCCTCAAGAATGTTGTTCATTGTTGATTTTATCTTTTAGGGCCTATATTTTTTAGGGGGTCTCTCTGTCTTCGCACATTTCACAAACGCAGATATGTATATGTATTGGCAAAACAGTGAATGGTCACTGCAACTGCTAATTCTATGCACAATTCAGTATTTGTGCATTCACTTACCAGTTTTACATGTGCAAATGCTGCTTTTTAAACCGTGCACCTGCAACTGCATTCCTAATTTTTGCATTACATTACGACAATTGCATGTGCAACTCTGGTAATCATGCATGCAAATAACCATAATTGGCCATTTGCATTCTTAGTTACCAGTTTGCCTTTTCAATCATGGTGATTACAAATGAAATGAGCAATTGTTTCCACGTTTTTGTGCACATTTTTGAAAATGCAGTCGGAGGACACGCTCCCATGTGAATTTCATGGGTGCAATTAGGGAAACGTACTGGAAAAGTTGCTTTTAATTAGTATGTGATATTCAGGTGGAGGGACTATAAATCTGCCTGGTTTACACCCTGCATCCAATCAAGTAGAGGTATTTTGTAGCTATAGTTCAGCTAAGAGTCATCACGTTTAAAAGAGTAACATGAGTTTAGGGATCTAGTTGGAAGATAGGGAATCTCTCTGAAATGGAGATTTAAAGGGAATGGGTGTCAGGAATCAGGGCCTGCATCAGAGCCAGGCTGTGACAACTTAACGAGCACAGCTGCCCTGTAACAGGCTGCCTGATTGGCTATGCCAACGGGAAGAGTCAGCAGACCAGCTCTTAAGCCCCGCAGCAGTTTAGTGACTGCTCAAAGCATTTGTCTGTGGCTGAAATAGCACCTCCTTGTTCCTGTCTGGAACCCAGCCCCACCCCTGCCTGGCCTCACTCCGGGTAACCTGGTTCTAACCCTCGGCTCTGATTCTTGGCCTCTGACTTTGGCTGTGACCAGTGGCTCTGGCTCTGGGCTCCACTCCTGGCTACCGACTCCTGTTCCAACCACTAGGCCTGACTCCTGCTCCAACCACTAGGCATGACTGTGCAACGGCCCAGTCCTGAGACTGTGGGCATGTGCCCAACATATTATAAGTCTTGCTTCTTTCTCCCTGCCTGCAGTTCATTTTCTTCTGCATTTGCTGATTGTTTGCTGCTGGTACAGGCTGGAGCCTGCTGCCTTCAGAATTATAGTCCTGTCAGGGGTTGTTACTTACCCTTGATCAGGTTGTGTATTTTTTTAACATCTGGCCTCGGAACTGCCTGGGAAACTCTCTCTGCAGAATTGTGAAACATAGAATCTCTGGGATTGTTGTACTCCTTGGCAGCTCACGTCTTACGGGCGCGTCATTTGATACCTTTCGCCTTGTTAATACCATCCTGTTTGATGCAGTCCTAATTCCAAGATGGTTAGTGGTACGCTATGGGGAAGCCTGCACCTTGAACCAGGGGTGTAATTCACAGCTCGAGGAGACGCACCCACGCTAGTTCTGATCGAGCTATGAGTAGAATCTCATCCGAGACGTTAGGTGCACGCTCAGGGCCGTTAACCAGGGTGGTGGGCGGGGCTATGCTCCTTGCTCAAAGTGTAGATGTTACACTATGGTGTTGCAGGCCAGCTAGTGCAAAAGCCCTGGATCCACTTTGGTCTCCATTACCTTTTATGATCTAGCAGGTGCTGAGATGCCCACGCGACTATCCTTGCCCTCCTTGACTCTTGTGTTGCTCTGCTTATCAGTAACAACGAATGGAGGGTGTCTTGCTCAGTAAATTGCTGGTTATGGTAAACTCCTTAAAGTCATGGCTGGTCTGAGCCATGACAACAGACGGATTCTCTGTTAGATGAGAGGAAGGAAAACTAGCTACGTGGCACTTACTCCTCCAAAATCGTGGGGACTCACGGATCCGTCTGAAAAGCAGACAGGGGGCGAGTATGTGTGGATTGTGGACTGCTTGCCACAGGTGCTTCTGGACCTAACACAAGTGATGTTTCTGCTTTTCCTCCAGGGCCAAACCGGTTGAAACTAACCGTCCTCTCAGAAGACAGGCTACAGATGAAATGGAAAGCAACAGAAGGGAACACCAACGGTTATAAGGTTCAAGTGAAGCCCATGGCAGGTACGTCCTGCTGGGATTTGGATTTGACTCTGCAAGGGATACAGGTTGCAGGAGCCGGCTGAGCCCAACTTTCAGCTAGCACACATCTAGGGGCAGGGGGAGGTGGGTTTGACTGTCAATAAGCTCATTGTTAGCGCTGCCATCCTGCGCTGCTGAGTGGGGTGTGGCCGCTGCTGCTTTCTGTGATGGTCTGAATACTCTTCATCCATCAGTGATACTAGAACCTCCTTGTGCCCTTCACAACCTCCTCCCAGGGCTGCTGAAGCAGCAGCATCTCTGGCTGGGATTTTCAAAGCAACCTAAAGAAGCCCGGCACCAACGTCCACTCAAAGCTCAGGAAAGTTAATCTCCTAACTCCCTTAGGCACCACTGGGAATCTCGTACTTTAAGGGTACTGCTTTTTCAGCAGGATCTTCAAAGCATTATGGGGTATCTGTGTTTTATCTTGTGCTTCCAGGTGGGGGAACTTCTGACCTACTTTCTGTCCACATTTACAGTCTGTGCATTTCATCAGGGGATGGTTTAGAGCATTGTTTGCACACAGTCCCTTGGCTTGTCCACGCAGTCCGATTTCCTGGAATGCTTTGTGTTTCTAGATAGTCATGTCAAAGCAACGGGGGAGCAGCTCTTTACCAGTGTCCTGCATACTAATTCCAGTTCCTGAGGTCTTGAATCAGCTTCTGCATATAAATACAGTCCCTGAGTGACTGGCAAGATTTAGTGTCCCATACCAGAAGATCCCCAGAACCCCTTGAAATGACAGCACAAACATACATTACGTACTGATTTTGTCCTCCCTGGAAAGGGGAGGTGCCCACTTTGACACCACCTCGTCTGCTGACAATGCCATGCATGGTGCCTTACATTTTTGTAGTATTCTGATTTGCAGGGCACCTCTCTCTGCAGCCCTGAAGGTTTTACAGGAATTAAATCCACTAAAATAATTATAGAATTCCCAGGCTCCAGAAGACCAAGCTGGGGAGCAGATTCCAGAGCTGAGGACGCTTCCTGGGCAATATCCATCCATCTACTGCTCTCTTACGCCGAGGGATTTTAGTCAAGCACTTCTGCTGATCGCAGTGGTGCGGTGCTGTCCCTGGCTGTGTCACTGAAGGGCCGTGCAGCGAGGCAGAGGAGGGTAGCTATCAGCAAGGAATGCCTGCATGCACACCGGTTGTTGGATGGGCTTTCACCAACCTTGCTTCTAGCTCTGCAGGCACCTGTTTGCTCAGCTGGAGTTGAATGTTTCTCACTTCTCCGTCCCCAGTTACAACCAGGGCTGCAG